TATTTTAAAAATATTTTTATTGTAAATATATATATAATTTTAAAAATTAATATTAATTTTAGTATTAATGTTATGTTAATAAATTTAATTAGATAATTAATATATTAAATATTAATTTTTATTTTTTAAAAACTCTTAATTGATACTCTTAACATATAAATTAAAAAAATCCATAAATTAAATAAAAAATGTGATATCTAAAATAGAGTAGCGGTAGTGTCAATTTGGATTTGGGCCGATGTGGATGACGTTGCTAGATAGCACTTTGGAAAGGCAATAATGCAGCCTTTTATGACTTTAATAAAGTGTGTTTGAAAACTATTGGCTAATGTAAACGGATTTGTTCTGATTCTAAAAGGAAGGGACATGTTGGCCTCGTGATTCAACACTTCTAAAACTAAAGTCTAATTGCTTGATCTAATCAAGGATGAATTATTTTGAAGAAACAAGTGTTCAAAGGTTAAGTTTCCAGAACAAGGAGCAATTTCTAACCATCAATCATTATTATAAGATGTTTAGAAACACTGATGATATGATTAAATTTATAACTCAATTAGCAAATTTTTAACTATCAATCATTATTATAACATGTTTTAAAAACAACCAGTGATGCACTTAAATTTGTAACTCAATTAGTTATAAATTAGTAAAGTGCATATTTTCAATTTATAATACTGATTCGAATCCCCTCCCCCAATATCAAAAGAAAAGAAACAACTGATTACATGTCCCAATCAACAAACCTTGGTGATAGAGAGCTATGGTGATTTTCTCAAACTAGTTTCCTGCTGCAGGACAGGATTAATTCCCGATGGGATTCGGCCCTGAGTGTACTTCATGCAACTGTTTCCTTTGAACATGATGATAATCTTCAACATATGTCTGCCTTGCAAAACAAACAGAATAAGAAATAATAGGTATCCAAGAATTTAACTATGATGGGATGAATCCCCTTTGGATCAGATGAAATGAAACAATAGATATTACAAAGATAATAAGATGCATACCGTATCTTGAAGACCCATGGATGTATTTCTTAGTTTGTCAGCACCAAAATCTGAGGCATACCCATTTTAAGTTAGTAACAAAGGCGGCCGTGCATAGATACACACACAGAGGGAGGGAGAGAGAGAGAGAGAGAGAGAGAGAGAGAGAGGGAGTTGAGGAAACGAAAGGACAGATGGTGTACCTTCAAGTCTTCTTATGGCAAAAGCTGAATGATGAAAGAGATGAGAGACTAGTAGAATGAGAAGAAAAGATGATGAGAAATTCATAGCAAACTTCGTCTCATGAGAAAGTAAGAGAAAAACAAAGACACAAAATTAGGAGGTGGGATAAGGATAGGGAAGGTTATGTGCAAATGAAAGAAGGCTATGTCTCAACAGAAGAGAAGGATCCAAGTAACAGGTTTTGTAGGAAAAGACCAAAAGAGAGAATTGTCCTTTTGTAAGCGACAGCTAGGAAGATCTCAGCTTAAGACACTGGAGTTAGGTTCGAGATGCTCTCTAATTTTCACACCCATCTTCTATTTTGTCATCATAGAAGGGGTACTTACATATTAACTTTGTCCTTTTACTCGGTGAAACAGCAAAAGGTTATGACTGAAGAACATTATCAAATGACTTTACAAGCATGACTGAAGATAACCTTGATGCTGCGGAGTAAACTCGGTTCAATCCTGGCCTGAACTTGTGGGCTGCACTGCATAATTAGTCACCTAGAAAAAGAAGAATTCAGATTACATTACTGAACTGGTTAGTTTATTTGGATTGAAAGAAGCAAAAGGAACATCTAATTTGTTTGGTAGAAGATGATTAAATTGATCATTCGACATTCTCTTGGCAATAATATTGAAAATTCTACTTGGAAGATTAATAAATGTCATGATTCAACAATGATGCCATCTAATTAGCAGTCCAAAAACAGATATTTTAAGAAAGTGACAGAACATTGCCTTTCAAGAAAACACTAGTTCCCAGGTGTTTGCTAGCTTCTTAATTATTTTAACTCACTCATGAAGTACAGGTTGAAGAACATTCTTGGCACTGGGTTGATCACACACTAGAGATTCTCACCATTCCATGGTTGCTGAGATTTTCTTAAGGCCTGGGGGAACATAGGGTAGAGTAACAGGAATTCTTTTTAGATTTGGACATCAGATTATTTCAATTACTTGCAGAGAATCACACTGCATCATTCCCATAAGATGCTCCTCAAGTTTGGCAGATTTTGAAAAACCAAACAAGCACAATCTAGATACAACTTCCAGCTTCTACGTTAAAGGAAATAATGTCATGCCAACTTTCTCTAGAAGCAAGTTCCAGCTTCTTCCTAAATAAGAAGTTCCGCTTTACTTCTTTTGCATTCCCATCCCTGTACAAACATCATATAATATGGCTTGTCAAAACTAGAATTCATTATTATGGTTGGTTATGGAATTCAAACATCCTAAAGCTGGAAGAATTCCCGAATATCATCTAATTTGATAACATTCTTCTTCCTAGTTGTTAACATTGAAACAAACTTCGCAGCCCTTAACGTTCACTTTCATTTTCTGGAATAGCTAGCTAAAGAATATGGGTTATCCAATGTTGCAACTGAAAATCACCAGTTGATTTTGATATAGAGACCAAATAACATGATCAAACATGTCCCTCTTTGATGATGCAGTTGTAGATGTGATTCATTATGGTTATTTGCCTAAGCACAGGTACAAGAATGAAGCTCAATCTCATATAACAAACTCCCTTTTTGATGCTGCAGAACTAAAGCCATCGAATAGAGCTCTTAATTGAATAAATAAATCTATACCTGATGTAAAGAAAGAGAAAAATAAAGATTCATGATATAACTTCGACAGAATGATGCATTGTTGTTGATTGATCAACAAATATGGATCATCTGAAACTAGACAAGTTTTGCATCTCATATCACTCTAAATAATTTCCTTTGAATTATCTTTGAGAAAAGTATACAAAAGAAAAATGAACACAAGAAAACAAATGATGGTAGCAGCTCTGAGATTGTTTTAGATACTGAACCTGCCAAGCATTAAATGACTCAAACAGATCACCAAAGCCACTGAATATAGAGAAACTGATCTGAAAAATGAAAAATGAAAGCACAAATAATAGCAGTAGTTAAATGAAACACAAAGAGTACTGAGCTTTTGAGTAAGATGTATACCATAACTCTGCTTTCTTATGCCTTAAAATTCCCGTATCAAACAAGCTTGGAATTTTTGCCCTGCTAAATAAGGGAATGTAATTTTGAAGATAACTTATGCTTGACATGGTTTGGATCAAAATTTCCAGGGCTGGCCCTAAGAACTCCATGACCATGCCTGTCATTATTATCATAATGTTCATAAAAAATTCGCAACAGAAAGTATTATGAAAGTCAAACAGAAAGAGTAGTAGAGGTTCATAATCAAATAATTGCAACACTAATACATTCCCTTGTTCAAACACCAGCCCCTTAGCTAACGGTAAATCTAACTTGTCTAACAGTCTGTTGTTTGTATTGAAGTATTGCTAAACTATTTTCTTCAGTGAAGAAGGAGTTTCCTTTTAAATTCTACTAATTTATCAATTAAATCCATGGCAATTTAGAGAGTAACAGTTATTTGTCGAAGCACAGGTATAAAATTAAAGCTCAATCTCACATGACAAGCTCCCATTTTGATGCTCCAGAACTAAAGCTGTTGACTAGTGATTTTAATTGAATAACAACATCTATACCTGATGTAACAAGAAAGAGAAAAATAAAGATTCCTGATATAGCGCTGAGAGAATGATGCATAACATTGTTGATTGATCAACAAATATGGATCATCTGAAACTAGACAAGCTTTGCATCTCAAATCACTATAAACAGTTTGCTTCAAATCATCTTCAAGAAAAGTATATACAAAAGAAAAATGAACACAGGAAACAATTGATGGTAGTTGCCCTGAGACTGTTTTAGATACTGAACCCGCCAAGCATTAAATGACTCAAACAGATCACAAAAGCCACTGAATATAGAGAATCTGATCTGAAAAATGAAAAATGAAAAACAAAAAACAAGAGCACAAATAATAGCAGTAGGTAAATGAGACACAAAAGAGTACTGAGCTTTTGAGTAAGATATACACCATGCAGTCCATGCCTGCTTGTTTTCTGGTGCCTTACTGTTCCAGTATCAAACAAGCTTTGAATTGTTGCCCTGCTAAATAAGTGAATGTAATTTTAAAGATAAGTTATGCTCGACATGGTTCAATCAATGAATGTCTCTTTGGGGCCTCAACTCAAGAATCAAGATAGATTCTTGACAATCGGCAGAATATGAAATTCACACGCTTCCATATGGTTTTCAAATGCATAAACAAAGAGACAAATTCCAATGTGCACAATGAATCTTGTAGCTGAAAAAATTTTACTAGAAACATAAAAGGTAATCAAAGTGGAACTTCCTTTCCTCATCAATACACTAACCAAAATGCATTACAATTTTTAGCAGAAGCTTCCCATTAAACCCATTAAGTCTAAGTGACACAGATGCAATACAACTAAAAATAATGTAACAAGCAATGTAATTATTAAAATGAATAACAGCAAAAAAAAATAGAGAATTTATAAATTAAATTGCAGGGAAGAATCAAAATTACTAATTTTATTTGATATTAAATATCAATAATATAAGGATCGAATAGACTTCAATAGAGCTGATATCGTTGGAGTAATTTTACTCACAGAAAGAACAGAACCATAGCATGATAATTAGATAGGTTGACTTGACAATAAACCAGCCTTGCTCTAAATATTCTTTCTTGTCTTCCAGTCATACCCCCTTACTGGGTCTAGTTTTATCCTGAGGCGGAACAACATCTTCTTTATCCGAATTAAGTTCTTGACCACATCAGCTTCATACTTTTCAATCTTCTCGTAAGTATCGTGGAGATCTGGTTCCTCAATTTCAAGCAGCAGAACTTGGTGGGCAGGAACCAATTTTGCAATTATCTCACGGAGCTCTTCAAGCATAACCTGAAATTCGCATAGATGCTGCAGAAGGCCTTGTACGTCAGCCTTTGGAGGTTCAGCAGCACTTCTTTCAATTAATTCACTGGTGTCAATCCACAATTCAATCACTTGACGGAGACGATGCGGTGCATACACAGAATCATTTAAACTCATGCTCATAATTAAGCGTTGGGTTAAAACTGGCAACCGCTTTTTAATTCGGCAATTGTGGAGGTATCTGATTAAGCCTTCATCGAAATTCAACCCAGATCCTTGGCGATACCATCATGGAGTTCCACCACAGCAGCATATGGTCTGTTGGGATCCACTGCAGCGCCAGCTATTTCTCTCGGAGGGGCGAAGGGTTGATGTTGGAGACGATCCATACGACGACGGAACTTCTCCGCCCCGCCAGTGCTTACTGCCATGCCGACCGAGGGAATTTAGTGTAGCAGACAAGGGTTTTATTTTGATCATGCGATTTTGCAGAATTTATAGATGATGATAGCTAAGTAATTAATTTGCCTTGCTCTTTAATCCGATCCGATACAAATAAAAGTTGAAAATACAAATTCCACAACAGATTTA